ACATTATCTGTAATGGATACTCCTTTCAGCCGAGTACTCACTCAACCCCAGTGTTGGAAACCGCTGTTTTCATGCCCAAAGATGAAGTGTCAGCTAAAATCCACTGATGTTTAAGACATCAGCAGTTAGATGGGAGGAATTGTGGGGTTTTGAGGGTGCTCTGAGTGCATCAGTGAGTGTTTTTTAGTATCTACTATAGTGCAGAAGGTACAATATTTGAATAAGTACTGTACATTTCCAACGATGTCTATCCTTTGTGTTCTCGTGTATTATATTACTTGTCTCATGATGTATCATTTTGAAATGAAACAATCATACATGTTATAAATAACCTCAACACCTATACATATTATAATTTGTATTGCCTTCTGGCTTCATCCAAGACTTGAACAATCATAACAGTAAGATTTTTTAAGTATTTTGAAATATTGCCAAAGCTACAAGTTTGTCTCTTTTCTTGGGAATGTTTGTTGGAATGACCTCTATTTGTCTGTTTAATTTCACATTCAGTTGATATATTTGATAAAACACATTGCAGTAGTGCAACTAGTGACTTTGGTCACTGTAATGAGCTATTCTTGAGTCTAAATATAACTATATAAAAATGTACATACATCACATAATGAAGCTGCAGTAGGTAACTTTTATACCTACCTGTAACAGCCAATCAGAGCCAAGCAAGACACTTGATTGTTGAGTTTAATTCCCTTGTTGTCAGATACCGAGGCTTAGGGTTGGTGGTTTTAAGATAGTTATTTTCTTAAAACCACTATCTTTCTCGGCTCTGATTGGTTGTTTTTGTTCAGGCCTGGTGGATTCTTACAAACATTAAGCATAGAGAACCAGGAAGAACCTGAATTTTTTTTCACAGTATACATATTCTTTGCTGTACCTACTGTACAGGATATAATGAAAGTTTGTGATACAAATGTTTAACTTTATTTAAGGAAGAAATTCTAAATTTCTAGGGAATACATTTAATATTTGGATAACAGAAATATAATTTAATAGAAGAAATTTTCAATATATAATGCTTTGGCATTTTAATAGATTTTGACAGCACAGATAGTTGAGTCTCATTCCCAGGATATCATATACAGAAAATGGACCCTGGGAATGAGACTGTCCTTACATCTTTCTTGGCTCTGGTTGTTTTTTGGTTCAGGCCTGCGTGGATTCTTGCAAATGCCATTTAGCGAGTGGTTAGCCGGAAGCCAGATGTTTTCAGCAGATGATCTGTCTCATTACTATGCAGGATAATAGAGAAAGCTTCAGAAATAATGAGCAAAATAATTTGATAAATATTTTTTATAAAGCTTCGACCCAGCTGAAGGCTTGAACTCCAACAGCCAGTTTATGCTTGCCCTAATGTGATGTATTTTTGTTGGGACAGCATGATGTTGTGGAAGTAATGAGTGAGACCAATTAGGCTATATTATTTGAGAAAAAGACTGGGGTGATTTAATGATGTGGCAGAAAAGCTGGATTTCTTGGAACATTTGATACTTCATTGCTGAATTTTCTCCTCGAACTCAATTTTATTTGGCAAAGTTGTCAGGCCTGGTGAAAATGGGATACTTCTATGCGTCGCTTTTCGGGGTCGGCCACTAGGTGCGCTACTATCATAAAAAATGCGTTTTAGGCTAATAACTTCTGCATAGTTTGTCGTACATTCAAAAATTTTATACCACGCGCTTCGGTAAGTGCGAGCTAATCTCCCATATTGGCCCCACCCACTTCCTGCTACGGTTTTTTTTTCGTTAGGCATCTTGCACAATTTCAGGCATTGCCACAAGTTACGCTCTTAAAATGAAGAAGTTTATATCTCTGCATCGGCACGTGTGATTAAAATGAAACTTGGTACGATGCTTGCCCATGGCTCCCTGAGGCTCACTAATAAATGTGTCAACGATCCGCCACTAGGTGGCGCTCTGGTGGCATTGTAAATCACTGTGCGGAGACATGAAACTGTGTGGAGACATGAACTACATTACACGTGCCCTGTGAATTTCATATTCTTATAGTGGTGCCTGTAGCTCACATACCAAAAATCGTGTTTGTCGTGTTTGTAGCGCCCCCTACAGGCTTTTAAAAAAACAGCAGCCCCGGCGCCACGTTTCACCGATATGTACGAAACTCGGTAGGCACGTGTAACGTGCCGAGACGTACAAAAAAGCCTCTTGGACCCATACCCCAAACCCCACGGGAAGTCGGGACATTTTCATTTTCGGTGAATTTTTCGCCTTGTATTTGAACAAATTACTCCAAGGAAATTCATTAGATCTGCTTCAAAATTGCTCAGTACAGTTAAAGCACACGTTTGATAACAGTCCCGCCCTGAACACGTCTACATGACAATATTCAGATATAGTGATAGCGCCACCTACTGGCAACAGGAAGTAAGCACTGCATGGCAAGTTTGATCTGATTTACGTGAAATTTTCATGTTTTGGTCCGCACGTGTAACGCCTGCACGTGACGCGGCCCCGCCCAACGCTGCTTGCAGCTTTAATTTTGATTAGTTTATTTGTTTGGGGATCCATCTGAAAATGAAAAAGCTCTGTTTTTGGTTTGTACAGCTTTTTTTTAATAGCAGAATTTAAGCACTTTCAAGGTACTTAAACCATAAACAGAAAAACAAACAAATCTGATGGCTACTTGTTATATTATTATATAGTTTAATTAAATATAGAAGAAATAGAATTAAACATTTCTGAATTACAAGTCTGTAAGTATGAATTGTGTATTTACCTTAATTTTGTCAGCCCTCTCTTTCTTCCTCTGCCTTTCAGTCTTCTTGTCTGCCAGTGAGATGGCTCCCACTGCCACGTCCTCCTCTTCCTCATTAGGAGGTGCCTCTTCTTCATTCTCCTCTTCTACCAGGCCTTCTACCTGCTCTCTCAAGATCGTCTCCTGCAGAACACACAAACACAAAACAGATTAACTATCAAAGACCCACATTAGGAGTTAACCAAACACGATGAACGAGCTGCAACAATCATAGGTACCTCTGTTGCTGTGTCTTCTCTGTTGACAGCCAGCTGTCTCTGTATTTTATCTTCCTCCTTTTGTCTCTTGACCTCCACCTCGTGGGCCTCCTGCAGCAAGGCCTGGGTTCACAGAGAGGGGGAGAGGGATTAACAGTCAGTGCAGGTCATTACAACAAGATATGGTCTTATGGAAATCATTAGAACATAGAAAAACTTAATCAAGACATAAACAGCATAAATAAACTGCATGTATTCTGGATAAACTCAACATGCAAGACCTCTGAAACTGTCATATGCAGGTACATCACTTGTTAAAGATGCTAACAGTGCAAGTCTGCAGGCTGTAGAGTTGGTTTTACCTGATGGGAGAAGAAGTCTGGGTTGTAGGATCCTCCAGGAGCAATCACCTCCACAGCGGGAAGCACAGACGGCTTCTCATTCAGCTTCTCTGGACGCTGCCAAAACAGTGATTTTTGTCAAACTCAAAGCACCACAAAGCACAAACGTGCATTAGTTTAAATCAGACTGTAAGAGGACTTTAACAAAACATTTTCTCACCTTGACACGCTTCTTGCCCGTCTGTTGAAGGTACCAGGAGTCACCTTGATCTTTAGCTACATTAAAAAGAAGAAAATGTTTTCAAATATAAGCATTTGTGTGTGTTAAAGACAGCTGCACAACCTGGCAGTCAGCCCTAGTGCAACATTTCACATTTTCAAAGTCATGCAGTAAATATATCTATCTAGATTACAGCACATTGTTAGATATTTAGCTGGTACTGCTACCAGAAAGAATTGGACTGTGGTACTGCATTTCCCTCCTCAACTTCAATATTTAGTTGTGGTGACCTAAATTGACATTTCACATGCGCACATCAAGCCTTGGGTGTTGCCAAATAGGCCAGCATCCACCAATTGAGAAAATAAAATAAAGCCCTGGTGGCTTCCTCTTTTCGATTCCCTTGATCACCAGCAGCTGGCAGGCATGAGAGGCTTAGCTGAAGAAACTTTTAAATATGCATCCACCGTGCACACCGATTGCCTGCTGTATGGACAATGTAGCTTAGCCTTAGCCTCTAACTCCCACATAGAAGGAAGATGCACAGAACTTTGCACATTTTAGGTCAATATGTTGTCATCATTCAAATTATTATGGATGGTTAAAAATCTATTGCAATATATTGTGGCATGACATCCTCAGATCCCAGACGACTGTTCACACAACAGTCATCTGAGCTCCTATGTGTTGTCTTCACATTCCCATGAAGGAAATACTGGGAGCGCAAGGATGGGATCATCACTGGACGGACAGACAAACACACAGACACACTGCACTCACACTCTTGCCCCCATATGTCATAATAGTCTCTGTCTGGGTTGTTGTTGGCCTCTGTCACTGCCTTCTTGGCCGTCCTGTTGACCGGCCGTCTGTTCAGCAGCTGTTTCTGCCTCCGTGGCACCACGCCTTTGGCTTCCAGCTGCTCAGCCTTCTGGGCGATGCGACGGAGTTTCTTGGCATTAGGTTGCTGATAGGCCAGCACACTGGGGGGTAAAAGCAGAAGGGATGATTAGTTGATAATGAGAGACGGGAGGAGGTAAAGGAAACAGATAACATAATGGAGAAGACTTGAAGCAAAACCAGCAGCTAGCAGTTTAGGCCTGTTTGATTTAACACCGTCTATTTTATGATGTGTGTATATCCTCAGATCCCAGGACACTGTTTACACAACAGTCTCCTGAGCTCCTATGTGTTGTCTTCACATTCCCATGAAGGAAATACTGGGAGCGCAAGGATGAGATCATCACCGGACACACGCAAACATTAAAATAAACAAATGCAAATTGATTGATTTTTCAATACATTTTAAAAATCACAGATTATTTAACTGATACACATATGAACCAGAGGAACACAGAGGGGAAGCCTCCGTCATTGTCTTTTGTTTCTACGGTGATGTCTGACAGCACACCACTTACTTTATTTATGGGCAAGGGTGACAAATTGAGTTAATTTTGCTATGAACACAGATGGTAAAATAGACCTGAACCGGAGTGACATTATCTGTTTTATAGGGCTGCAGCGATTTCTCGAGGAACTCGATCACAAAAAACGATCGAGGAATTTCCTCTGCCTTGAAGCCTTGTTTAATTCAATTTAAAGCTCACGTTTCGCACGGATTCTTTTTAGTGTGACACAACGTGCTTATGTCA